CAGTACGTGTCGATTTTAAAGGCAAGCGCGAACAAACATACACAACAATGGCGAAGTATATGGTACTGTTGTTGCTGCTCAAGTTTGCTAACGCTTCTTCAGCAGAGTGTGGATTTACTTCACCAATATTACAACCAACAGCGGGGACGCATCATATACAACATATAATCGTCACTTCCCTACAGGTACTGTTTACTAACAAGGTGACAGCGCCAACTACTGGCCTGGCATACCTAATACAGCGTTTTTGGCCGTTTTCGCGTAGCCATAGTCCATATCTCTTTGCCTTTAGACGAAGGCTTGATAAGTGCGATAAATGTGTAATTAAAAGTTGTTTCAACAACCACCAATTTAGAAGATTCCAGAGCAGGATTGCTTACATGAAGAAGGCAAAGCTGTAATATAGAGAGGGATATAAACACTGTTGGCTTTTTTTGCATGCTTCAGCTGCAATTTTGTTCCCTCAGTTTAAGTTATGACAAATATAAAAATGGGATGACCTACTGAAGAGATTAAAAACCTAAAAATTAAGTTAATATAGTCACTAAATGCACTCTTCACAATGTGTGAAAAATCAGTTTGAATAGTTAAACGAACTTGGCATAAATAAGTTCTGACCCAACAAAAATCAGACGTTTTTTATACTAAAAGCCACTCCCCCCACCCCCCTCCCCCCACACACACAATGTCAAACTGATAAACTGACAAATATAATTCAAAAATGCACTGGGAAAGTGGCTTTCCCCCCAACTTTCCATTACGCTTACTGCTCTGTAACATTCAGAACAAAATTGTTGGAATTTCAAATGTTGGTAAATAATCCTAATTTCTCAACCGAACATGTTTTCAGTGACTTGTACAGTAGTTAAATCTATTCTTATTTTCCACACAGATCGTAACAAACAAGACACCCATGCAAATCTGAGCTCCTTAGAAAACTATTAACAATGACAGTGTTTTGAAATTACAAAAAAAGCATAAAGGAAAACTGTCAACCTTTAAAATTGTGATACCTCTGTACACATTATTACAATACGCCTCCGCCTTCTTTCTTGACGTTTTCAGACACTCGTGCAGTTCGGGATCTCCCTTGTGCTTTCACAGGTGTTGATCACACCGCCTACTCGCCGAAAACACAGAAATGACACATTAGCCTTCAAAATAGATTCTGCTTCAACAAACAAAACTGTCTGTATTCATTTTCTTTACACATGTCCCAGGATGATTACCTGGAAGAAAACTTATTTAATAATCTTGCTTTTAATTTAAATTACTTCCTGAAACGACTTTTCTTCAACCCAGACCTACTTTTCACTATTCGGTGAAATCTCAATGGATAAAATCAAGTCTCAACATGACTTCAAGTTGGATAAATGGTTTGCTTTGAAATGCATAACATTATAGAAGTTAAATGCATAGCGAATGCCATTTTATGTTATCTTAAAATGCTTGATTATACGCTCAACTATATATTACTCAAGTATAAATGAACAAACTAGATGTTTTCAGCATTAGAGTCATTAAATATTTATCCTCATGAATGCAAGCGAAATGAATGTAAAGCAGGCTAGAAACTGAACCATTTCATCCTCCTATTAAACACCCGCAGAAAGAGTGGTGGGATTTATTTTCTGCGTGGCACCAATGTTGCATGTTTATTCATCACAGTTGTTGTTATCACACTGACCCCAATTTGACCCCTTTTATAGTTTAATCAGTGCTCTTTTATAATCACTGCTTAACAGCACCAATTAAATATTAATTTGCAGTTATTAAGCAATTACATGATCACAGACGCATCCACTTGGGAAATAAGGACACTTGGGCCCACTGTAGATAGTTCTCATTAGCATGCATTATGTGTCCGATTATAAACTCTCTGGTGGTCTGATGGTTTTCACTGCGTAATTCTAAAAGCTGAATGATTCATATTTTAGTGTAAAACACAAAGCTTGCCACCGCAAGAGTAGTTTTATGATAGCATGCAGGTTTGTGACTCAAACAGTCCTGAGGCTGAAAAAGTACTTTTCTTATCATGTCATTTCTACTTGAGAACTACTCAGACATAGAATACTAGAAAAAGACAATTATTCAGAGATGTATCTGGGAAAAGTTGGTATTATGTACACTAAGCTCCACCTTAAAAACATTACTGACCAATCCTACTTTAGCATCTTTTGTCATGTGCAATATCAGACAAGCTTTTGCTCTTTTCTACAGAAAGCTTTTTTTTTAAATTTTACAGAAATGATAGATTGCATTCTGCGGATTACATATATATATATTATATTAAATTAAATCTAAATGTAATTTAATTTAATATCTTAATAAATCTTAATTTAATTTAATTATATAGCTGCATATTAAACAATTCATTGATATTTCCCTGCACTTTCAGGAAGCAGGAATGTTTTTTTGTTTCCCCCCACGTTTCTATATCCAAACTAATAACTAGATTTTACAACTAGCATGAGCAAAAATAGCACTCTCAAAACATCCCAGATACAAAGGAAAGTTGCTCCCAATTCCATCCCATCAAATCTTACTTTATATTTCATCTTTATATATAGATAAACAGAAACGAGAACTATGGTGTGCATGAAAAGAATGAGTCCTGGTAAAAAAGAATAAGTGATGTAAAATCTGTTTGCATGGATGTACCTCTTAAATTTGTAGATGAGAAATACTGCTAAACCCAAAAACACCACAGACAGAAGCATCAGCATAGCAGAACTGCTGTGTCTTGGGATGGAGTCAACCAGTGGAGCTGAGACAAAGACAAACACAAGTGTTACTCCACACTGACTCTTTTTAATAAGAAAACCAATGTCTTTTATATCTTCATATACACGGCCATTCACGAGTGAATTAAAGAACAACTGATCTTGAATCATTATACAGAGCATCTCTGTGACAATTTCCAAAACCCCCTTCGGCTCTCTCAGAGGGACTTCTGCCAATTGTTGGCATCCCTTCAAAATCGTTCATGTGAGCCTTACACCCACTGGCTGTATATTTCCCCCGTGACTATGTTGTAGAAAGACAGCCCCATGAATCCCCTGACCTTTTCGAAAGAATCCTGAACTCTTTCCAGAACTTTGGCCACAAAAACGGCCAAAGGAGGCAAGGAGGCGGCCAATAGGGCCTTTCGCACCGCTTTAGTTCCAGAACTAAATGTACAGTACTAAAGTACTGGGACGATTTTGCGCGAACTATTTCCCAGTACTATTTAAAGGGTTGCATTCGTACGAGAGTGTGTACTAAGAAGAGACGTAAGCCGGTCGACAGCGTCGTCATTTGTGCGCGGCGTTCAACAACAGAAACAAAGAAAAACAACATTAACAACAGGAGGATGGAAGACGCTGTGATCGGAGCTGTGTTTTTGTTGTGTCTCGCGGGTTTCACAATAATGGACATGGAAAGTCGACGTATACGTAAAGCGATTGAAAGAACGGAATATATATAGTGAATATATAGTGATATAAGCATAAAACATAGCAAATGGGCTTTTCTCTGAAGTTTTATGTTATAAATATTACTTTTTAATTTTCTAAAAATGTCACTCACGTTTGGCACAGGCCTCCAGCTCTTTCTCCATCAGTTCTTTCTGGGTGGAGAACTCATTCAGGGTGATTTTTGGTGTGGCGTCATTCTGGCCCACCGTACTGATCATCTCCTGCTCTTTCTCATGGTTCACCTCTGCGTAGATGTTAATCCAAGGGATTTTTCTGCAGAACAAGTTTTTGTTGTGGGGAAGAAAAAAAAAACATGAACATTAACAATAATCAATTTTTATTTATTTTTTTTTTTTAAAAGGTGTAAATTCTGAGCCACTAGATTCTCTGTAAAAGTGCATGGGTAATAGCACAGACCGTGAGTCATATATCAGTTAGAGAGTTTACGCACTACTAGTCGATGCTATTATCTCTGCAAGGAATCAGTAACCATTACCAAGTTATTACAGAAAATGTTAAAGAAGCCAAATTATATAAATGTGGCATATGATGGTAAACAAAATGGATAATACTGAATACAGGATAAATTAGAGTGAATTCAGTAAAAGCATACATGACATCTTTTTATGGTATTCTGGTTCCATTTCAAATTATTTATTCATCTGGCCAATGTGTTTATCCCAAAAACAGTATTATCAGTATGTGTGTTCACTTGGCATCAAACAAATGACTCTTTCCACCACCAATTACACTACTAGTTTAGCTACATGAATTGATTCCACTTCATTTGGCTTCCTAATGCGTCTTTAGTTCATATAGCAATAGCAAAAACATAATTTTTTTGAATTAAATACCTAGTGTTATGAATGTGAACATTTGAGTAAAAATGATCGTGTGAACAACCATGACGATCAGTATTGAGAGTTCAGTGAGAGAATCAAGAATCAATCTGATTCAAAGAGTGAGTTGTTAGATTGACTCAAACTGAAAAAATATTGTTTATACAGTGGGTACGGAAAGTATTCAGACCCCCTTAAATGTTTCTAAATCATTCTAATATGCTGATTTGATGCTCTTATTAGCAATGTTGAAAACAGTTGTGCTGCTTAATATGTTTTTGTGTAAATCATGATGATTTTTTTCTCAGGATTCTTTGATGAATAGAAAGTTATTTATAAATAGACATCTTTTGTAATTTTGTAAATATCGTTACTCTCACTTTTGATCAATTTAACGCAGCCTTGCCACATAAAAGTACTGATTTCTTTAATAAAAGTGTAGTGTAACTCACAAGTTTAAGACTTGTGATTCTTTCTTCTTTTTAAACCAAATGGTACAAAAAGTCTTTCATTCCCAGTGTTTTGCAACCAGATCTGAATATGAACTGGTTCTCGATTCCCAATCAAAACAATGGACCAGAAAGCCTTATTCTTTTCAGTGCTGACTGTTTTTTCTTCTTCAAAAATGGGGGGATCATGCAAGCCATGATTGCTGGAGAGCAATTATCCAATTATCTTCCATAAGGCTTTCAGCATCACTGGTGGAGCATAAAAGCCCAATCTTTCAACAATTTATAGTGCTGACAAGCTTCTGGTCTCTGGAAAGCAATCAACGTAATTACCCAGGAGAATCGAGGGAACAGTATATAGCACCCAACAGAGGCTAGAGAGGGAGATCAACTGAAATACCACTGTGAAATGTAATCAAATATAAGCAGTTGCACACTACAGATGTCAACTAAATCATCAGAATAGCTACATACAGTATGTAGCACAACAGTTTTGTTACCTAAAGTTAATTGTGTGATGTAAACGATGACCCGGGAGCCAGGTTTCAACTCGAACTCCACAGAGATCTGATTTAATGCGTTGACCAAGATTTCTGATATCTACGAAGAAAACAGCATGCAGAAGAGTTAAATACAGACTTGTCATCTCATTGCCTGAAAAGAATATAAGTAGTGCTTGCTCACAAAGATGCTATGCGTTATGTGCAATAAAATAAAATAAAATAAAATAAAATAAAATAAAATAAAATAAAATAAAATAAAATAAAATAAAATAAAATAAAATAAAATAAAATAAAATAAAATAAAATAAAATAAAATAA